GTGAAAAAGTAAAATTACTTTGTTGAGATCATTAGCCATTCTTTATTTAGTAAACTTACAGCAGCCCAGTCAGTCCATTAATTCGTCACCATTACAGTTAAACTACTACAGTAACGATACCTGTTTCAACAATTTTGAGAAAATTATCCAATAGCTGATTGGCAGCTTCGATCATGCAATATAAAATCCGGATAATGGTAATCATTTTCGGACTTGATCATGTTTATGCGAACTAATGATATCCAAACTCCGAAGTCTATCTAAGCAGCCCTGCATGAGTTTGTGGTTGAATGAGCATTTTCTATTATCACATTAGACATTCGCATCGATATCGAATCTTTAAAAAACATTTTTTTCTGCCTTGCTTTCCGTATACAGGGTGGCCCAAAAGTCACGCACCCGACAAAACATTGAATATCTCCATTAGGGCTTGACCAAACGGCGTGATTGTTTTAGTAGTAATAGAGGTATGTACAAGCTTTAAATCCATAAAGACATGTCTAGGAAGACCCTTTGCTAAGTATCACTACTGACCTCAAGAAGAAAAATTTTACTTTTTCATAGTTAAAAAAAAAGTCACTTTGCCAAAAAAACTTGAATATCTCCACTATGGTTCAAGCTAAAGAGCTGATTCTTTTATCAATGATAGAGGCATGTTCAAGCAGTATATTCATAAGGACATGCTTAGAAAGATCCTTTGTTAAATATATTGTTTTCTATCCTATCTGTGAAAAAGTAAAATTGCTTTGTTGAGATCATTAGTGGTATTTTATAAAGGCTCTATTTAAGCTTGTTCGTATAGATTTAAAGTGTGAACATGCCTCTATTATTGGTAAAAATATCAAGCCGTTTGGTTGATCCGTAGCGGAGATATTTAATTTTTTCTTGGTATCGTGACTTTTAGGCCATATGCATGGTAGCCTAAAAGTCAGTTTGCCAAAATAAAAATTGAATATCTCCATTACGGCTAGAGCAAACGAGCTGATTTTTTTAATAATAATAGAACCATGTTCAAGCTGCATATCCATAAAGGCAAACCTAAAGAAACCCTCTGTTAAGTCTATTGTTTTTTCTTCTATATGTGAAAAAGTAAAATTTTTCTTGTTGAGGTCGATAGTGATACTTAACAAAGGGTCTTCCTGCACATGTCTGTATGGATATAAAGTTTGTAAATGCCTCTATCACTGGTAAAAAATCACCCCGTTTGCTCAAGCCCTAATGGAGATATTCAATTTTTTGTCGGGTGTGTGACTTTTGGGCCACCCTGTATTAATATTGTGACAGCAACCGCTCCTGTTCTGTGTGCGTTATGAGAGAAACATTCTATCGAATTTTTATCATGAAACAATTTATTTCTTGAGGGCCTTATCACTGTTCTCAATTCTCATGAATTGTTCTGTAGAATGTTAGAATTTTGCATTGAGATTCATTTTAGAGGGAACAAGAACAGAACCAAGAGCAACAACAACTACAACTACAACAACAACAACAACAACAACTACTACTACTACAACGACAACAACAACAACTACAACAACAACAACAACGACAACAACAACAATAACAACAACTACAACAACAACAACAACTACTACAACAACAACAACTACTACAACAACAACAACAACAACTACAACAACAACAACAACAACTACAACAACAACAACAACAACAACAACAACTACAACTACAACAACAACAACAACAACAACTACAACAACAACAACTACAACAACAACTACCAGTAAGTAGAGTAAATGTCCTTAATTTCGACAGCAAAATTTTGTCTTATCTTGTTGGAGTCGGTACGCAGCTATTTTACATATCGAATAAAATATTTTTATATATGCATAATCCCTAAATTCTGCTCTTTCAAATGGTATATGAACGACCTTTTTCTTGAATGTTCTCAAGAAGATATTAGTGGTCTACGATGATGAACTGCATCTGTCGTAATTAGGAGCACTTCCTCTAATTTCGACAGCAAGCCATTTTTTGTCCCTAATTTCGACATTCCTACAAAATTCAAGCAAAATGTAATCTTTTCAGAACAAACAAGTTTTTTACGTCTTTTGATCAGAAAACGAGCGAAGGTCATCTCAGCAGTTTTGTAGAGCGTGTCAAGCTCTATCTAAATCTAAAGGTTCATGAGAAAGGAATTTTCATTTAGTGAAATAGAAAAGGTCACAAAAAGACATCTAACATCGATGACAAAAAAAGTGTCCCTAATTTCGACATTTGAACGAAAAAAATATGTATCCCTTGAAAATCATTGAAGGGGACTTTAATTCTAGTTGCCTGACCAACGATGATCATTTTCAACAACTTTATTCTGAATTTTACAAAAATCGATTTTTCGGCGCCTGCGCACACTGGACAACTTTCATGAAGCAGGCGGACATGTAACTATTGTGCTCTGCAACGGGTTGCCATTACTCACAAATGCTTGTATGTTACTTAGAAAATCGAATTTACGAAAACAAAGCATTTTTTGAAAAAAAAATTTTCCGGATAAAACACCTGAGGGGAACCCTTGCCCAGATTTACGAAAAACGTTTTTGGTAGAAAATGTTTTGTGTCATACATCATCCGATGCCGTTTTGCTCGCTGATTCCGAATATCATATTCATTTTGCGGTACAATCCTATCGGAATCGAGAAAATAGGAATTCAGGGGCAGAAGCCTGGATTTCTGGAAAATTTCTAGCACAGCCTTGGTTCATTGGCGCGAGGTGGCACTAATCCCAACAATATATCGCATATAGAAAAATAATCTGTAAACATTTCAGATCAATTGGACTTAATCTGTTTGTAGGGTTAACAAAATACTGGATGACCAATTTTCGGAGTGATATCCAGCAAGACCGAAATTTTTTTTTTCGAAAAATACTTATTATTATATATGATTCGATGCAGCTCGACAAGCTGATTTCGAATATCACTTTGGTTTTGTGCCACGACTCTGCTATAATTGGAAAAAAAGAGATTTAGTGGCAAAAACCTGGATTTTTGGAAGACCTCTAGCACAGCCTGTATTCGTTGACACAAGATTACGCTATGCCCAACGATAGATCACATGTAGAAGAATAATTGGTAAAAGTTTGAGGTCAATCGGACTTAAAATCTTTGTAGGGTTTGTAAAATACGGAATAACCAATTTTCGGACCTACTTTTAACCCGATAATCAAGTTTTTTCTTTTTCAATTTGAGTCCAATCAAAATCATGTTTTTATCACAATGAACTCGATAGAGCAATCATTCCTTTTTGGATAGTTTTTCTTTTTAAATATTTCCGTTAAGATGGTCGAAGAATTAACTTTGTCTAGAGATAGCGATTTATGAGTAATTTTATAAAAATGAAGTTTTCCAGAGTTCTCCTTAATTTCTGGAAGTTTTATTTCAAGGCAAGATAGACTAATCTTAGATGTATTTATTCTAATATTTAAACTTTGGAAAAGAATACTTTCGTTCATGTCCGCCTGGTTGCCCACTGTGCTCAGAAGGGTTTGCCATATGTTGCAATTTCATAAGCCCTTCAGGGTATATGAGCGGTAATATACCTTTAAAAAGTAGATAAAATTCATCAACCCTTCAGAAAAGCGTTTTGTACTCTACGGATTTTTCTAAGGGGTAAATCAATAAACGAATTTCTGAAGGGTTGATGAATTTTATCAACTTTTTAAAGGTATATTACCGCTCATATACCCTGAAGGGTTTATGAAATTTCAACGTATAGCAAACCCTTCCGAGGGTTGACGAACCGAATGGGTAAATGACAGAGTTTATTAATCTACAGCTATTTTTTACACTGTATGGCATCTAAAATACTCAATTGTTTCTTTCCATCTATCTTCAAACCAGAAAATTATTACTTTCCAAGAATTAATATAATGATTCATAAATCATGATCGTGTGGATCGATATTTTTTATATAGGACTAATACATCATCTTTAACTCTTATTTTCCAGACACTATGAGATTAGATATAGAAGTACTTCATTGTTACCTCAATCCCATGATACTAAATTCATCATATCGAAGTATCTCTTTATGAGAGCCAACTGTAGGCAAAACTATGTGCTTTTTATTCATAATGAGACCCTGGTTGTTGTTTTTAATCTCGATCATACACTGATAGGTATTTATTTCCAAGCTCTGTTTAACACTGCTATACAGCATCCTAAATAGATGTCGATGTCATCATTCATTATGATTCATGTCATTTTGACCCTGAAACTGTTCATAAAAGTATACTATCTTCTACGGTATATATATCTCTCATTTGCATGAAAGAATGGTTAGCACTACAGTACTAAAATCTGTTTTGAATAATACTTGCACTTTTTTTCTGAAAGAAATTAGTTCTTCAAGAGAATTATTTTATTTGAATATACACAAGCATTTCCAAAAATACAAATGAATTTGAATAAAGTGAAAATGAAAAATTAGAAAACAAAATATAAACATGACTGTCAATTGTTGTGGAAGATAGTGATGTTAGTGTATGATGCGGGGATATTGTTGCTGTTGTCCACTTGTATCCTGACCCGCTTGCTGATATTGTTGTGCACAACCGGCTTGACCAGCTTGTTGCTGTGGATTTTGCTGGCGATTGGCACCTTGGCCCTGTTGTTGTTGATTGTTATCGTCCTGACCACCTTGTTGTTGCTGAGCATTGCCACCTTGACATTGTTGCTGTTTTTGAGCATTAGCTCCTTGGCCAGGTTGTTGTTGCTGTTGGTTGTTGCCTTGGCCAGGTTGTTGTTGCTGTTGGTTGTTGCCTTGGCCAGGTTGTTGTTGGTTCTGTGCATTAAAACCTTGGCCAGGTTGTTGTTGCTGTTGGCTGTTCCCTTGGCCAGGTTGTTGTTGGTTCTGAGCATTATGACCTTGGCCAGGTTGTTGTTGGTTCTGTGCATTAAGACCTTGGCCGGGCTGTTGTTGCTGTTGGTTGTTGCCTTGGCCAGGTTGTTGTTGGTTCTGAGCATTATGACCTTGGCCAGGTTGTTGTTGGTTCTGTGCATTAAGACCTTGGCCAGGTTGTTGTTGGTTCTGAGCATTAAGACCTTGGCCAGGTTGTTGTTGTTGTTGATTTTGCTGGCGATTGGCACCTTGACCCTGCTGTTGTTGATTGTTATCGTTCTGACCACCTTGTTGTTGTTGCTGAGCATTAGCAGCTTGACCTTGTTGCTGTTTTTGAGCATTACCTCCTTGGACAGGTTGTTGTTGGTTCTGACCACCATGACCTTGGCCAGGTTGCTGTTGCTGTTGATTATTGCCTTGAGCAGGTTGCTGGTGCTGCTGGTTCTGCTGGTTGTTGCCTTGACCAGGTTGCTGGTTCTGTTGGTCAATGGGAATTTGACCAGCTTGTTGTTTTTGATTGGCTGATGTCGATGCTGACATTTTTTTATTCAATCTTGTTTAAGTTAAGGTAATAGACGAGATATAACTATTCACTATTGTTGCTTTGATTTAATGTACTATCATGCTTCGATGTGCATCTCGTATTTATATTTGAAAAATGCGCATAACAGATATTATAACAGCGCAATTGATTACAATTACAAGGCAAGATCTATAGAACGATGCTTTTTTTTACTCAAATCACACCATATAATTGAAGTACGAAGAAAGTTTCATTTAAAAAGACGTCGCAATACTCTTGATATAGAAAAAAGAACCATTCTATGCTCTGTTTTACATCTTAATCGCAAGTGTATTCAAGGATGCCAAAATAAGAGTATTACGTCGTAAACTTCTAGGTCAAGAAGATACGTTTGTCAACGGTGGTAAAAACAATGAAATAAGTGAAGAAGTAAGCATTGCACAGTACGATGACATAGATAAGAAGTAGACGATCGTATATGGACATAAGTTATGCGTGAGTTGAATTGTACTTCTTGAACATCTGGTTGTTGAGATTTCAACTCAACAATGACTTCAATGCTAATTATTACTTTTGAATAGAGTGTTTTTTTTCACTTAGATTCTTTTTATCAATAAGTTGAGTAATGTTAGTTAAAATATTTTTAATGAATGATTTTCTTCCCTTATTTAGCTTGATTCCAAGAAGAAATGAACAATAAGTATCTATTCAAATAAATCAAATTTTTTTTTGCGATATGTAGAGTGGAATATTGCACCCTTTTTAGTTTTGGGAAGACTGTGCAAATAGGATGAAAAACGACATTGCGTATACTCTAGTTTTATTTCGTCGTATATGATACAACGTAATAGAGTCGTCAATCAAGAGGTAAGCAGTACAAGTGTATTTTATAAGGTTATCATCTAGGCTTGACTGATAACACACGCACTTTGTCAGTGCATGTCATTTCTCTTTTGTTTCTTGAAAGAATTACCAACACAACTTTCAAAATGAATCATTCAAAGAGTGCACATAAGATTGGGTTAGTAAAATGGCTGAAATCGTAGGTAAATAATAAACATATATATGTTTAAATGATCAACATAACCATGGAATGCTCAGTACTACAATAAATAGTACGGAATTGTAAAATAGTCAATTTATTTTATAGAATTAGAAGTGAAAAATATGAATCTGATGAGTAAAAAATTCAGATTTTGCTAGTAGATCAAAGGTAAGCTGTACCCATATAAAGTATGAAGTAGTATGAAATAAATAAATTGCAATAAATAAAAATACAAAATAAATGAGAAGAAATCCAAAATAACATTATATATCAATGCAAACTAGGGATGTATTGGTGATGTTGCACCGTTCGCCTGTCCACCGCAGTACCGGTGGCACCGGTGCACTGGTCATTATTTTTATATTCCTCTGCATATGCTACACAATACATCTCAGAAACTCGAGTACTCAATTTTCTGGTAATACGTGATCTCTTGTCCTAATCAAATGAATTTTGCTAATGTCGATCGGAAATTCGGGATATGACGGGGGATCAAGCCAATAAGAATATAGAAATCTACGGTGAAGACGGGCGCATTAATATCAATGGATGTATTGAGCCGTATATTGTCTAAGTAGTAGTAGAAGCCGGTCGTCGCGGTAGTTTTTTATGCTTCTCAATTGACAGTATTGACCTTCACGACGATAGTCGAAGCTATATTCCTCGCGATGGAGGTGTTTGTATTGTAAGTTGAAAAGACTAGATATTTTTACATCAAAAGAAAGGTCTCACCGCCAAACTAACAAGGTTAAATATTAGCGGACCTTGGCTTGTCTAGAAGGAGATATTCAGTTTTTACCATATTCATGATTTGGATATATAGGAACATTAGGATAATTTACGTTAATTTTTTATGCAATCAATTAAGTATTTCACTAGTAGAATTTAACGATCTTTCTGAAATTTATCAATAGCATTAAGATCACATTAGTTTCGATGTCTTTTCGAACTTAAGTAGTATCGATATAGATAAAGTTCAGCTAGTAGTTATCAATATCTTCAAATCACCAATAGTTTCCATTTTATTTTAATTGAAAACAATAGATTATATAATAGACTATTTTAAGAAATTCACAACAAGTGCAGATGTAGATCTTCAGCCAGATGGTAGTAACAAAGATTTTTTTTACACCAAGCACACATTAATAATGTTCGTTCATTGCAATTGTTAATTGAACAGTAGAAATCATAAAATCTGAAGCAGACATCTTTTGGTTTTTCAATCTATCCAATTGTTTCATTTGTTATTTGAGCTTGTATAAATCCATTCTTAATAAGGTTTGTAAATGCTGGAACTGATAATTGATTATGAATAATAGAATATATGTTGATGAAATATTGACGATCACTTATAGTCATTTCTGTTCGATTGATATGAGTATAATGCTCGATTTTTTCATGGATAAATCGCCATGAGCAAAACAACGAAAGATCTTGTGCTTGAATATAACCGGTTTTCTCCTTCGGGAAAAATCAATAAGTGACTGTCTTGATTAGGAAATACTGCTCTAAATTTTGTTAGATCAGGTTGAGTTTTCCAAGAATCAAGGAAGAGAAGAAATTTTTTACCCACCAAAGGACGTAGAACTTCAGTTAAAAAAAGCGTGATGTTTTTCATCACTGCCTTTTCCAGATTTTGAAGCTCTTACTACAACATTTGGTGGTACAATTAAATTTTTCTGCACTCTCTGACCTAATTGATTTTCTTTTTCTTGAAGGATCAGTAAGAACTTGTCCAGTAAATTCCCATTAGCTGATGTAACTGGTTGAACTGTATACGAATGTGTTGTATTATATTTCTTTTTAACTGCCACTTCTGTTGTTCTTTCACCAGTAAAAGAAAGGGTTCTTGGAGATACATATTCTTGTTGAAATGAACAGTGATCGCTGTTTAAGATTTTATTAGTAGAATACTTTGATATTAGACGTCTTTTACTTTCGATCCAATTGTGAGCATCTTAAATATATGCATATTACATTAAGATACACGTATTTATAAATCCAATAAAATTTTATATACTATCTAAGCTGCAATTTTTTTTTGTTTGGTTTAGTTCGAGTAATCATTTTGTTATATCTTCTTGATGATATTCTATTTTCCTTTTTAAAAGTATTGATAAATGATTTGATGGCCTTGAACGTATTCCAATCTAATTCTCTTGCTTCCTGAATTGCAAAAATTTCTAGATCAGCATCATGAACGACTTCTTTTTCGATTGTTCTTTTCATATAGAATTCATTAAACATAAATTCTTTAACTTGCTTTAATTTTTTTAATCTTGTGCCGTTATTTTCAACATATTCTCTAAACTTCGGAATATAATTCATGGATTTGATTTTTTTAAATCGATGGAAAATAGTTGCGAATCTAGCATTCGAATGTTGATCAACCCATTCAATTATATTTTCCATTTCTTCTAATGTAAAACGATTTTTTATATAAGAATGTTCATTCTCATTGTAATGGTCAATTTCATCATCGTTTTCTTCTTCATCAGTCATTTCATCAAATTCATCTTCAAATTCGAGAGTATCATAAGAATACAACTCATTGAAGTAGCTGTCTTTGAATGACTTCAGAATTTCGAACAATCGTTCTGCAGCAAAAATTTCATCGGCATTTGTTGCAGAATTTCCAGATATATATTCAGTTTCAACCAAATAAAGAAGGTGTTTAGCCACGTTCAATAAATTCATTTTTTTATTTGAGGAAATAAACTTTTTAATTCGATAGATTCAGCAGAGAACAAAAGAGAGCAACTCTTCAATAGTATATTTCTTTGTGATTTTTTAAAAACAATTGCAAATAAATGGTCAATAGACCACCAAGTGATGCATCAATGCACTTTAAGTTCGAATATTATACGCACAAGTCACTTTTCAAACAATCATATATTTTTCTTTCCATTTCGATATAACTCAGGTTCGAAAAGACATCGAAACTAATGTGATCTTAATGCTATTGATAAATTTCAGAAAGATCCTTAAATTCTACTAGTGAAATACTTAATTGATTGCATAAAAAATTAACGTAAATTATCCTAATGTTCCTATATATCCAAATCATGAATATGGTAAAAATTGAATATCTCCCTCTAGACAAGCCAAGGTCCGCTAATATTTAACCTTGTTAGTTTGGCGGTGAGACCTTTCTTTTGATGTAAAAATATCTAGTCTTTTCAACTTACAATACAAACACCTCCATTGTTAGAGATAAACAAAGAACTTTAGTCAACAAAATTTTTCTTTGGAAAACAAAGTATACAAGATAGATGAAAACAAAAGAATAAGATAAAGTAACTTGACAATAGTTTTCTTATCGTTCTCTTTATACATACTGATATATAGAAGACATGTGAAGCTTTGCTGTGATTGAGCTTACTCGCAAGTTCTTGATTGCTGGTCGTCGAGATCTTTCATATACACACACACAATCGAATATAGACTAGATCTTGGAAGTATGGTCACTCATTCGCACACGCCTTTATCAAACATTTTTCTCCTTGTTGTACCCTACATTTTCCAAGGCTTAAACTTTGGACTCTTAGCGAGCTTGCCGCTATTTTTACTCGCTCATGGTGCCACATGGAAAGATCGAGGCACATTCAATTTCACTATTTACCCATTTTCATTTAAACTTCTTTGGGCACCATTGGTTGATGTCTTCTACAGTAAACGCTTCGGCAGACGGAAATCATGGCTAGTACCCCTTAAAATTAGTATGGCTGGAATTTTATTTTTTTCTATCGTTCTACGTCGAATCGTTTGTAGCCAACCTGCGTATCGTGCTGCTCACCGTCATTTTCTTTTTTATTATTTTTTTTTTACTGCAACTCATGATATTTGTGTCGATGGTCTGGCTATTACCGTATTTTCTGCCGCGAACCTTCAATGGGCATCAACTTCACAAACTCTAGGACACACTCTAGGTCGCTTTCTTGGCTCTTCGTTTCTTTTGACATTTGAATCGGT